ACCCACGTGCAAATGCAGAGCCACACGCAGAGGCCCTGCCACGTGTGCGTGGACGAATGCAGACATCTAGGCCACGCATGTTTGCCTGAGCGTGTGTGCACGGGACAGCCCCGGAGAACAGCCATGCACACGTGCACGCACCCTGGGAGAGTTCACTCTCCCTGTCGTCCTCCCCGGAGGGAATTGTGCTCCCAAGACAGGCTCCTTTCTCCAGCTCCCGCAGGAGCAGATGGCCCCATGGTCTCTGTGATCCGCTCTCAGGCCTGTTTCTCATCTACCCCTGGCAAGATGGGCTCCCAGAGCTGGGGTCAGGATGCAGGCCTTGAGGGAGCACCTCAGCTGTGCTCCCCTTTCTCTGTTGAGAAACAGACCTGGCCACACAGGGCGAGGCTTCTGGGCCAGGCGGAGAGCAGGAGGTCAGTGGCTTCCTGCCAGGAGCCCCCTTAAGAACACAGCTATCACAGGGCCGGGCTCCAGAATCTCCCCCACAGCCCTGGCCACGATATAAAATAGGTCATTGGCGTAATCCTGGCCAAATTGGCCTCTCAAAGATCAGCGAGGCCGCGCTCCCTGGGCCCAATTATCCCATATTTGGTCAATAAGTCATTAACACAGCACCTCGGATGTTAATAACCATTTCATGAAAAAGTCGGCGTAATTTATGAGATCAACACTGGTTAGCAAAATTAATAAATATTTCATTCGGCGAGATTTATCCCGGGTGCTCCCGACAGGTGGACCGAGGGCCCTCAGGCAGCCCCAGGGAGCCACAGCCGGGGGAGAGGAAGGCCCAGCTCTCACTCGGGCCAATAAACATTTACCTCAAATCCTATCGCCATAAATCCACAGGCTGGATGAGGGAGTCCAGTAAAACCTGACTTAACATTATGTTCTGGCCATTAACAATATTTATATAGATGTCAGTTCAGGGAGGGTTGGAGTCGCCAGGCAGGGCCCAGCAGCCGTGACAAGAGTCAGCCCCAGATCCTGTGGGGAGCTTTGTGCCCAGGGAAGCCTAGGGCAGTGGGAAGAGCCCCAGAGTGGCTCTCACACCCCCCTGGGGGTGGTAGTTGCCAGCTGAGTGACCTGGGGCAAGTTTTCCTACCTTTCAAAGCCTCGGTTTACTCATCTGTACAATGGGAGTGTTGGCGAGAGCCGTCGTGGGGGCTGCTGGGAGGATGAAGTCATATAACACAAAATCAGGCCCGGGCACAGAGGAAGCACTCAGTGAACGGCCGCTGTTGGAATCATCACGACCAGCAGACACGACCGGAGGACCCGGCCCTCTGGGTGGATGGAGAGAAGCCTTGTCGGGTGCACTCAGCCTTCCTGCTCAACTCTGATATCTCCCAGATGCTCTGCACCTGTTACCTATCGTCCCACAACCATCCTGCAGGGTGAGCACTCTTGATATCCATTTTCCAAAAGGGGAAACTGAGGCTCGGAAAGGCAAAGCAACTTGCCCAGGGGCAGCCAACGGCAAGTGTTGGGGCTGGACTCAAACCTGGGTCTGTGACTCCAAGCTTCCCCTCCACCAGCCGCGCACCACTGTGTCCCCCAGCCTGGGAGAGCCCCTACCCGGCTTGGGCCCCGAGCCGGGCCCTCTGTGAGCAGCCCAGGAAACACAGCTCTGCTCCTGTCGCCCTCCTGTCAGGCTACCTGGAGCCCCGGGCAGACAGACCCAGCCCAGGCGGATGCCAGAGCCTGTTGTGGTTAAAGAACTTACCAGCAGAACCAATTCGTTTTCCATGGGGAACTTTCCACCAGGCATTGATTTTTCCCTCTCCCCGCCTGAGGTGGATTTGATTTGCGAGGAGAAGCTCTTCCAGGAGGCAGAAGCAATTGTGTGGAATAAACATTCCGAATGTGACAGGCTCATGTGCTGGGGGCCTGAGCGGGGCCGAGGAGCCAGGTGGGGGGGGTGCAGACGGAGGTGGGAGGCCCCCCTGTGACCTTGGCACAGAATCACCCTGCCACACAGGTGGCCTTGAGGCGGCAGCACCAAGCAAAAGCCAGCCCTTCTCCAGCTCCCCCTGGAGGCAGACGGGCTGGTGGATTTGCCCCCTGACCTGCAAAGCTTCATTAAGGCCCGGAGTATCAAGGTGCCCGGGGCAAGACTGGACCCTCCGGCCTTCAGCATCCTGATTCCTATTCATTTGTCTTCACTGAGCTTCTGCCCTTACCTCACATTATTCTTTTAACAAGCCTGGGAAGAGGGGGCTGGCTCATAGAGAATGTTCAATAAATGTTGGTGGAGGCATCGTTACACCCACTTTACAGACAAAAAAATGGAGGCTCACAAGGGTGGGGCAGCTGTCCTGAAAAGGGGCAGACCCGGAACTCAAATCCGGATCTGTCTGACTCCCAGTGCCCCTGCCCTTCGTCTGCTCATCCCTCCCACCTGAGTGGGAGCCGGGACAGGTGAGAGGAAAACAGGAGCTAAGGGGGATCCCATACTCACCTGCCCCTGACCTCAATGTGGTGGGTGGAGAAGGCAGAAGCTGGGAAGAATCGTTCACTCGTTCGTTTATTCATTCGACCATTTCACTCATTAAACAAATATTTATTGAGCTCCTGCTATGTGCCAGGAACTACTCCAGGCACTGGGGGAACAGCAGTGAATGAAGCCGGCATCCCAGCAGGAAAAACAGATGTCAAACAGAACAAATGAGAAGTGTAGAGTGAGCCGGGGGGTGATGGGGTGGTAAGGCTGGGGAGAGCTGTGGGCATGGCGGGCGCAGGGGTTAACAGGGAGTCGAGGGCGGCCTCCCTGGGATGGAAGAGCCACCTCAAGGAGGGAGGGAGGAGGAAGGCCTGGGCAGAGGGAACAGAGGCTAGTGTGGCTGGAGCGGAGGCAGAGGTCAGAGGTCAGTGATAGGAGTGGAGTTGGGGGCGGGGTGGCCTTGGAGGGCTGAGCAGACGGGACAGGCACCCTCTGGCTGCTGAGCAGAGAAGAGGGGAGGGGACGCGGGCCAAAGTGGGGAGATGCCACAAGGAGGCTTTTGCCCTCATCCAGGCGAGAGGCGGTGGTGGCGTGGTCCAGGGTGGAGGCAGAGCAGGGAGAGAAGCAGTTTAGTGTGACAGAGTTTGGTTTCCTGGTGGCTTGGGTGTGGAGTGTGAGAAAAAGCAAAGTCAAGGATGAGGTCGGGGCCTGAGTGCGGGCTGAGCACCTGCCGTGAGCTGGGCCAGGTCACGGCACCCACATGCTAGTGTAGACGGGAAACAAACAAACACCAAATGAAATGTGAGAGACCGAGACGTGCTGGGAAGGAGGACAGAGGGCCAGGCGGCTCTGACGGGCCGGCGGGGATGGCATCTTAAGGTGGTGACTCTGCAGCAGAAGGAAATGCAGGCCACGCTGGATGTTCTCAGGCCAGAGCACTCAGGGAGGAGGAACGGGAGGAGCCACAGGCCGCATCCTGGACAGTGAGGAGGTCGTGGGGCTCAGGCGAGTGGACATAGGAGCGGACATAGAAGGAGAGGCCAGCAAGGCCACAGGGTCGGACCGGGCAGAGCCTCGAAGGCATGCTCAGGGCCTTTGGGTCTGGAATATTCAAAGCCCAGGGAGCAAGGACACCTCCTGATTCCCCAGCCCCGACTTGGAACCCGACCCTGGGCCCAATTGTCAACCCTGCCTTGCGAAGGAGGTGCTGTCACTGTGCCCAATCCACAGATGGTGAAACTGAGGCCCGGAATGGAAAGTGGCCTGCCCAAGGTCACACCGCTGGTACACAGTAGCACAGGTGTGCTCCCAGGCCGAAGCTCTTTCTTCCCCCCGCCACGTGCCCTCCCGCCCCCAGCAGCTGCAAAGGGAGCCCCCTAGCTGCTGGGCAGGGGAGTAAATGGCCAGGCTGGCAGGGCCCTCGTCTGCGGCAGCTGGAGCCATGTCCACGCAGGTGGGGGCTTTAGGGTTTTAGAGAGGCCAGGCCTGATTCACACGTGGGGACCCCCAGCACAGGCAGGACCCCCACGGGCATCTGGAAATGCTGAGGCTGTGCAGTCACCTGGCAGGGGGTGGGGCACTGGACAGGAGGAATGGACAGCTGCTGAGAAAGGAACCGGGGTCTGGAGAGCACTGGGCCGGGTGGAGGCCGTGGGCTCTGGGAGCGGCTGAGGCCCCAGGAGGGGATGCCAGGCTGAGGAAGCGGGCGAGGGAGGGCCGAGGCCAGACAATCCGGTCCCCATCCTCCCCAAGAGTCCCGGCTGAGAGACTTCGGCCAGCCGGCTGCCCACGTCCCCCAGGCTCCGTCTGCTCCGTCTGCATATTTGTGGTTCTAGCCTCCCAGGAGCGTGGGGAGGTTGCAATGAGCTGATGCCTCCCAGGCCGGCCCGGCACAGCCCTCGGTGAGCAGTAGCTGACGGTGCCCGTCTACTCATCAGCACCACCGTCGTCCTCGTTATTGAGAACGGGCAGTTGTGGAAGGAGGACCAGCCTTTTCTGGGATCCGTGCCCAGGAGGTAGCCCCACATCTGGAAGGGAAATGACTCTCGTCTGAGCCTCATCCATGCCAGGCACAGTGCTCCCCTCTTGCTCAGTCTTCACAAGAACCCTTTGAGGGAGAAATTTTGAATCCGATTTTACATAAGGAAAATCTGAGGGCCAGAGAGGGTATGTACCCTGCCCAAAGTCACACAGCATGTAAGGGGCAGGGCTGGGATTTGAATTTGTGTTTACTTGACTCAGGGCCTGTGCCTTTCGCCTGTGGCCTCATGTGGTAGAGACGTGCGTGGAAGGTGGGGGAGGTTAGAAAGTCCAGCCTGCCTCATCCCCTCACTTGCTGTGTGTCCTTGGGCCCTCCTGCCCCTCTCTGGGCCCTGGCTTCTCTACCAGGAGAGGGTCAGATCCTCTCCGGGCCCCTTCCCTCTGACCGGGGGGCTCTAGGAATGTTTCCCCGGGGTGGGGGGTGGTGCCCACCTTCACCTGTACCCCAGCTGACTCTGCCACATGGGACCCACCCTGTCCCATTATGACTCCGGGTCCCATGGCCCCAGTGGGTGGTGAAACCGGAAAGGGGAGGGGTCAGGGTGGCTGCCGAGAGAGGTGCCAGAGTGGTGGGTGGGTGGCCTGGATTGATCTCACCCCCAGGATGGGCATTTTCTGGCCTGAGCTCTAGGTGGCCACGTGGACCATAGGTGAGTGGTGGGAAACGAGGCTGGAGGGCGGTGAGGGCGTGAGAGCCAGCTGAGGAGCCTGGTCTTTCTCCTTCAGGCACTGGGGAGCCATGGTAGGCTTCTGAGCAAGGGAGTGAGGTTGGATGCACATTTCAGAGAGAACCCACTGGGAGGGCTCTCTCTCTCCAGAGAGAGCAGCTGTGAGGAGGGCCCAACTCGAGGGGCTTTGACACATGAGTGAATAAAACAAAAGTCCTGGTTCTCACTGAGCCGACGTTCTAGCAGGGGAGATCGAACATACACATAAGACATGAGTAAAGTCTAGATAGTGCTAGGTAAGAACTGTGGAGCAAAGAGAAAGAGAGCAGGATAGGGGAGGTGGGGACAGGCTGCAGGACTACACACGGTGTCAGGATGGGCCTCGGCAAAGAGGTGAGAGTCCAGCCTAGATGTGAAGGAGGTAAGGAGGGAGCCAGGCAGATACCTTAGGAAGATTCTTCCAGACAGAGGAAAAGGCAGGTGCAAAGGTCCTGAGGCAGGAGCCTGCCCCAGCAGATGTTCGAGGAGCAGGAAGAAGGCCCATGTGGCTGGAAGAGCTGCTGAGGGAGACTGGGACAGACAGGTGGCAGGTGGCAGTGCCTGTTGGACTTTGGGCCCGTAGAGAAATGGTGGTGAAACCCAGGGTGGCGCTGAGGAGTCTGTGAATCAGTGCATGTCAGGCATTTAGTGCAAATCAGTACGTAGTAATTGCTCAATTAATAGGAGTTAAGATTATCGCTGCTATAATGAGATGACTTCTAACCCTTTTTCAGGGGAGTAGGGGTGCCTTAGGGTCTCCCCACTGTGAGCAGGAGCTGATTTGAGCGATGCAACCTGTCCCCCGTTGGGCTGGGGGCTGCTTTCTCTCTCAGGCTCTCTCAAGAATTTTCCAGGGCCTCGCAGGGGCCTCAGGAAGTTTGGGGAGTGAGGGGTGGGGCCACCGTCATAATGGCATTAAATCAGACCCCAGCTCCAGAAGAAATCGCACCAAGAAGTTGTTAATACCTTTATTATGGGCTGAAATGTATTCACGATATTAGAAGACATCCCGTTTCTGCCCCCTGTGTCACATCTGAGATGTAGCGTAGATAAATGATATATCACCGCACGAGATCTACCGAAACCATTAGTAACCATGACATTTTGACGTCAGATTTTAAAAAATTCCTAAGTAATCTTTTTGATTTATGAAATGCTGTCTGGGTTCATCGAGAGAGATCTCAGATTTATCACCGCCTGGTTAGAATTATTAATGATTTTCAATTTGTAAATCTGAAGTCGAGAAAGTCTGTGGGCTCTGGGTGAAAACTCCCGCCCAGGAAGGCCCGGCCTGTCCTCCAGCCGGAGTTCAGCCCCAGAGAGAGGGTTCTTGTTGCCAGCATTCCCGACACTTGACACTGTCTCCCAGCAAACCCTGTCTGTCTGCAGCATGCAAGACGGTGGGGGGATCAGCTACAGGACCTGCTCTGGGCAGAAGTACCAGCCCCACTTCATAGAGGGGATGTCCACTCCACTCCACCCCCCCCCCCCCCCTCGGGCCTGGAAAGCTTCTCCAGCCGACTAGGGCAGAGATGGTCAGGAAGGACACAGCCCAGGGCAGCAGACAGCCCCTACCTACTTGGGTCTGGTTCAGGCCTCAACTCAGCTGCAGGCCTCTGACACCACCAAAGAGCCAGGACCAGCCCCTCTTTGCCCAAGGCTGTGGCCACATAAGCTGCATTTGCTGCAGACCACACCCACCCGCATCCCCCACCCCTGCCCGGACACTTCTCTGTCTCATCCAGGGACATTCCTAACTCAGGCCTCATTCCGACCTCGCCATTTCTCTCCTAGACCAAAGAGGTCTCCCAGCCTCCATTCTCACCTCGCTGGTCCACCCTCCCCGGACTGTCTATGGCCTCCTGACTGTGCCGCTCCCTGCCTACACCCTCTGTGGCTCCCACAGGCCTCGAGAAGAAGGTGAGCTTCCTGCCCAGCCGCCATGGAGGCCCGAAGGCCCGGGACTGCATGAGGCCGTGCAGGGAGCCACCGCAGGACAGAGCCAGACGCAGACTCCCCCTCCCAGGCCTGATCCTCAGGACCATCCAGTTTCCTGTGCCGGACTCAGAGCCTGGCTCCAGAACCACCCGCCTGCCTGGGCAGGAAGGAGGGCCCTGTGGGGTGCGGGTCACTGGGGAGCAAGGCTCACCCACCACTCGCTGGGGCTCCAGGCTCTGCTCTCTCACCTCTGCAGCCCAGGCGTGGGCAGGGTGATCCGCCACGTAGCCGCTCTGAGCCTCAGTGTCCTGATCCGTAAAGAAGCAACAATAGAAGGCCCGATCCCCGGAGTTTCTATGGAATTTAAGTTGCCCTCGCAGGGGCCAAGCTGGGAGCCAACGCACGGGAGATCCCGGAACGCCGAGCTGCTGTCAGCACCACGATGACAGGTGTGTCCTGGGCTAGGGCTTGTGGGGAGGCCGTGTTGACAAGTTTCCTCCGGCGCTGGGTTCAAGTCCTCGACACACTGTTTACTGGCCCATGACCTTGGCCTCTCTGGGCCTCAGTTTCCCCAATGCCAGGGCCTATTTCTCCCACAGCCCCTTCGTGCCCGGCTGCCCCACTCCCGCCCCCGTCTGTGAGGACATGAGTTCAATTCGGAAGTGACTTGGCAGCAAATGCCCCTCTGATAACCCACCCTGGCCCCAGACTCCGGAGGAAACGAGGTCCTGACACAGACGAATAGAAATTGGCCACACTTTGTTTTCTTGATCCACAATTCACGGGGAGAATTGAGACAACGTCTCTGTGGTTTCATAGGCTGGAAAGCGAGTTTGCAACCCCTGCAGGGAGAAGTAGCAGCCGGCTTTCCCTCTGGTGCCTGGGGGTCCAGGGCAGCGACGAGGTGGGAAAGTGAAAGGACGAGAGCAGTGAGACAAAGGGACGAGCCCACTGGACCAACTGGACCAACGTGGAGACGCAGACCAGGGGGACCCAGGCAGGGCAGACCAAGCGCCTGGGAAGCGGTCTTTCAGCTGGGGGGCAATGAGGAGGGAGCCCACAGAGAGGGGCCGGGCTGCCCAGTACCCAGGGCTTGGCTCCCAGCAAGCAGTTATGGAATGAATGCATCATGAATGAATGAACCAATGTAGGTTGCATGCCACCTAAATGCCAGGCTTTCTCCCATCCATGATTTCACACAATCCTCCCAATACCCCTGTGAGGGAAACATCATTCTTCCCATTTCGCAGATGAGGAAACTGAGGCTCAGAGGGGCCCACGTCTAGCTGAGGTTATGCACCCCTGGCAGGAAGGTGCTATGGTTAGCCCACTTCATAGGCGAGGAAACCGAGGCCTGGAAAGGCGGACGGGCCTGCCTAGGATTCCACCAGGCGCCGATGCCTGAGCCCCCTCCCGTTTTGCTCGAGCGCTCTGAGTACACAGGCTGCATCACTCTGGGGTCCTTAGACCCTGCTGGGGGCCACTGTGGTCAGCATCGTCCCTCACTCTGGGTGAAGGAGGAAGTACCACAAACTTTCAGGCTTAACACCACTGAAATGGGTCCTCTCTGCGTTCCGGAGTCTCAGAGTCTGAAATCAAGGCATTGGCGGGAGTGGTTTCTCCCAGAGCTTCTGAGGGAGAGTCTGTTCCAGGCCTTTTCCGAGCTTCTCTTGGTTGCTGGCGATCCGTGGCGTCCCTCGGTTTGTAGACACGTCACTCCGCTCCCTGCCCTGGGCTTCACACGGCCTTCTCCCTGCATGTGTCTCTGCTTTCTCCCCTTACAGGACACCAGTCATCAGATCGGAACCGCCCTAAGCCAGTATGACCTCAGTGTAGCTGGATTTCACCCGCAAAGACCCTATTTCCAAAGAAGGCCACACTCCCAGGTTTTGGGGATGAGGACTTCGTCCTATCTTCTAGGGGGACCCAATTCAACCCGTAACACAAGCCTCAGAGGTTCCATCTGCTCTACTGAAATGTCAGTGACGCCGGGGCAAGGGGCTGGGTTTATTTTCGTCTCTGCTGCATCCACAGGGCCTAGAACAAGGGCCTGACACACAGTAGGTGCTCAGAAAATATTGTGGAGGAAGCAAATACATCTCGAAGGTCTCCTAGCTCCCAGGACAGGAGGACACCCAGACGCCCTTACACAAGCCCCGTGATGCCCCTGAGGGCCAGGCAACACACAGCCACACCAGACACACATGCCACCGACACACAGCCGCCCCCTGCATTCACACCAGTGCAACACAGGGGAAGGGGCCCACGTGACACCCGCTCGGAAACACACGTCACCGTGCACGCAGGGACATGCACGCGACGAAGCACACTCGCGGGCTTAGCAAAGACCTCGAGAGGCCCCCTCCTGCCGGCGGCGGGCTGCCCGGCGGCGTTAGGGCGTCAGACATCTATTTTGCTTTTGCGGCCCACCAGGGGCTGGGAGACAATACTCTGGGAGTCCTTATTTTATCTTGCATTCATCGCTGAATGCTTCAAAACCCAAATTTTGTTATAATGGGCGAATTAAGCAACTGTTTCCAGTGGAGCAGGCGCCAGCGGGCCAGGCGGGCGGAGTGGGGGTGGGGAGAGGGCCGGGGGCTCTGAACAGCAGTGGGCTCATCTGTCTGTTTGGATGAGACGCAGGAGCAAAACTCCTCCTGTGGTTACAGACGCTTCCGCTGAGGAGGGGCCTGGATTGGGCGCCCCGGCCGCTCTGAATCAGGAGTGCTCATTAATGAGTGCCGACTGTATGCAAGACCCTGGGCTCAGCGATGCACAGGCAAGGCCTCCTCCAGTCCTCGTACAGCCCTCTGAGGGACCATCCCAGTTTACAGACGGGGAAGCTGAGGCTCGGAGAGGGGAAGGGTGCCCAGATTATTGTGTTGGGGCGGGACTCCAAAGGCTAAACTCCTCTCCCCCAATCCCACCGCCAGCACCTGGCTGGGCACCCCCACCGCAGGCTGCAGTGATGGGAGGGGAACGTGGCTTCCTGGGACGAGCCCCACAAGCCTGTGTTAGAATCCCCTCTTCCCATGGCCAGCGTTTACTGAGCCGCCGTTTACCCTGGACCACCCACTCTGGGCATCCTGCAGGTGAAGCCAGAAAGCCCAACTGATCTGAACACTGGTCTCAGGCATCCATGACCCACCATAGACACATTTACATGCATCTTAAACTTCCAGAGACTCCCTCCTGCTCCCCTGGTCCTCACCACCCTGGGAGGGAGACCAGGTCGGCATCCGTGACCCCTTGCCACCACTGAGGCTCAGAGATGTGATATGGGCTGGTTAGGCTCACCAGCTTGGAATTGGGCATACCAGGATCCATCCTGGCTGTGGGAACTTGGACAAGAAGCTCCCCTTCTCTGAGCATGATTTTCTTATCTGCAAAATGGGGCTAGTGAGTCCAAAGGAGATGACTTTCACCGCTTAGCCTGGACTTGGCCGTAAGAAATCATCACTATGTCACTGGAGGCTGTTATTTCTCTTCTTGTCATTAGAGGAAACTTTCCCAGAGTTTGCCAGCAAATCGACATCTTGGAAGATATTCCCATCCAGGTCAGGTTGAGGCCAAGGAGGACCCAGCAAAATACAGTCAATAATTTGGGGTGAATGTGCTCCCAGGATGACAAATGTGCTGAGCTGAGCCCGTGGGGACAGTCTGTGGGGGCTCGTGGCTCTGATAGCCCCACTTCCACCTGACTCCGTGCCGCTACACGGCAAGGCTGCCTGAAAGGGACACAAAGCAGGCTGGTCTGGCCTCTTAGGGGAGATTCGGGTGTTTCTCTCAAAATTGTCCATTCATACGCCCTCTGACTGAGCAACTCCGCTTCTACAGATTTATCCTCTAGAAATGATCAGAAGTGTCGTCGTGATTTATGTTCAAGGAAGTGCATGGAGCCCTGTAGGTAAAGGCCAGCAGTGGGAGATGAGGCACGATCCACGGAAGAAATAATGGATAAACTGGACTCCATTAAAATTAAAAACTGCTGCTCTGTCAAAGACAGTGTCGAGGGAATGAGAGGACAAGCTACAGACTGGGAGAAAACGTTTGCAAATGATATGCTGATGAAGGACTATTATTCAAAATATACAAAGAATCCTTATAATCCAACAATAAGAAAACAAACAACCTGATTAAAAAATGGGCAAAATACCTGAACAGACATCCCCCCCAAAGAAGACATACAGATGACAAATAAGCATGTGAAAAGTTGTTCAACGTCATTTGTCATTAGGGAATTGCAAATTAAAACAATAATGAGACACCACTACACACCCATTAGAATGGCCAAAATCCAGAACACTGATGGTGCCGAGTGCGGACGAGGATGCGGAGCAAGAAGAGCCCTTGTCCATCGCAGGTGGGAACACAAAGTGGTATGGCTGCTTTTGGAACAGAGTTTGGCAGTTTCTTATAAAACTAAACACCTTCCTACCGAATGACGCAGCAATCTCATTCCTTTACCCAAAGGAGGTGAAAACTCATGTCCACACAAAAACCTGCACACAGATGTTTACAGCAGCTTTAGTCATAACTGCCAAAGCTTGGAATCAACCAAGATGTCCTTCCGTAGGTGAAGGATAAACAAGCTGTGGTGCATCCAGACAGTGGGAGGTCATTCAGCGCTGAAAAGAAATGAGGTCTCAAGCCATGAGGAGATGTGGAGGAATCTTAATGCACGTTACTAAGGGAAAGAAGCCAATCTGAAAAGGCTACATACTGTGTGATTCCAACTATATGACATTCTAGAAAAGGCAGAACTATGGAGACAATGAAAGAATCTGTCATTGCCAGGGGTTAGGGAGGAGAGAGGGTCAAATATGCAGAGCACAGAGGATTTTTAGGGCAGTGAAATATTCTGTGGTAGACACACGTCATTACACATTTGTCCAAACCCACAGAATGTCCAACACCAAGAGTGAACCCTAATGTAACCTATGCACTTTAGGGGATAATGATGCATCAACGTAGGTTCATCGATTGCAACAAAAGTACCACCGTGGTGGGGGAGGTTGTGTGTGTATTGGGGCGAGGGGGTGCGTGGGAACTCTCAGTACTTTTCACTCAATTTTGCTATAAAAACTTCTCTGAACAAATTAAAGTCATTAAGTATTTTTAAAAGCCAGGAGGAAGAAAAAGGGAAGGAGAGAAGAAAGGGAGGAGGGGAGAAAAGGGAGGGCTGCCTGACTTCACAGTCCTGGAGAGAGGACCTTGCTTCTCAGAGGGTGGCACCTCACCTGCATGGGACTCTGTCGGGAAAGGCCAGACCTCTGGGCATGGCTCAGATGGAGAAAGTGTAGACAAAGAGAAATTTGGAGTTTCAATATGGAGAGATCTGGCAGGAGGGAGTGGGAGCCTGAACATGTTTTGTGTGTGTGAGGAAGATTGGCCCTGAGGCCAGCCCCAAGGCCAAGTGGTTAAATTCACAAGCTCCTCTTCAGCAGCCCAGGGTTTCACCAGTTCAGATCCTGGGCGTGGACATAGTACTGCTCATCAAGCCATGCTGAGGTGGCGTCCCACACAGCAGAACTAGGAGGACCCACAACTAGAGTATACAACTATGCACTGAGGGGCCTTTGGAGAGAAGAAAAACTAAAACAAAAGATTGGCAACAGATGTTAGCTCAGGGCCAATCTTCAAAACAAAAAAAAGAAAGGATTGGCCCTGAGCTAACATCTGTTGCCAATCTTCCTCTTTGTGCTTGAGGAAGATGGTCCCTGAGCTAACATCTGTGCCAGTCTTCCTCTATTTTATATGGGATGCCACCACAGTGTGGCTTGACAAATGATGCTAGGTCGGTGCCCAGGATCCGAACCTGCAAACCCTGCCCGCCAAAGCAGAACACACGAACTTAACCACTACCCTACCGGGCAGGCCTCCAGGAGCCTGAGCATTTTGGTGAAGAAAATTATAAAACTTTATTGAAAGACATTAAAGAAGATCTAAATAAATGAAGACAGAAACCTGGTTCATGGATTAAAAGACTCAATATTTTAAAGATATCAATTCTAGTGTGATCCAAATCAAAATCCCAACAGAATACCTTTTATGGCACTTGACAAGCTGACTCTGAAATTTATACAGAAATATAAAGGGCCAAGATTGGCCAAAATATTCCTGAAGAAGAACGAGGTAAGAGAACTTGCTTTATCAGATATCAAGACCAATTCTAAAGCTCCAGTAGTTAA